TATCCTGTAATATTATTATTACATGCGTAGGTAAAGGCATTCTTGTAATGTGGATTTCTTGCTAGGTTAAAAGGAAGTCCATCTGAGTAAAACATTCTAGCTATTTCCCCATCTAGTTGTTCTCTGATTTGTAAATTAAATGCTTTCTCCAAAGCACTATCTACAATATGTTTTCTTCTTTTTGGTTCATATCCCTCCATCAGGAAAGGCCATTTATTTACAGTATTGTCATCACTTCTAATTGAAGAAGATGATGAAGGATATGAAGCATGGGTGCTTGGAAGTGGAATATATTTTGAAAGCTCTTTTTTACTCCTTTGTTCAGCTTCATTGATTTTTCTTTGTAATTCAGTCATTTATGATGAGCTTATCTTCAGGCATACTTTAATTCCATGACCACTAATCTTCGGGTATCGAGCCTACGATGGAGAAAACAAAGAAAAAGAACCTTCACTGCTTGTGTGGCCTTCACTATTCGCGTCGTCAAGCCGCTCCGTCGACGAAGGATGATCCTGTCGGTTTTAATGCTCGCATCATCAAGTCTCTTCGTCGACAAAGGATGATCATGTCTGCTTCTATGCTCGCGTCATCTAGCCGCTCCTTCGACTATAACGAAGAAGACAAATGTATGTGCTGAAACAAAAAACCTAAATCGCTGAAATGTTTAAGCCGCAAAAATGAATAGGGATATTGAGCGGATAGCCGAAATGAATAGAGCAAATTGTGGCACCATTTTTTTCATTTTTTTAATAAGACATGCGTATCTGATACGTGTGTCAGTCAAATTTAAATAATATTTTGATTGGACAAGGCAAAGCCGTATCCGACACGTATCTGTGCAGTATCGGAGGTATATTCGTATCCGACGCGTATCCGATACAGCATGCCTTGTAGATAGGAGTATCTGTGCTACATAGCGTACAATACATATAACCTTTTATATATATATTCATTCATTTAGCATTTGAAATACATTTCTTTTCTTTGGTTCATTTGATTCCATTAATTTCTTTATACATATCAATTTCCCTTAGTATATATATATATATATACTATATCATTTTCATTTATAGCATTTACTTCAATAAGCATTCCTTTTCGCATTTATTCTGTACAGTACATCATTTAAATGTACCAAAGATATAACCATTTCTATTTCCTTTTTCTTTTCCATAACATTTTCTAATGCAGGACTAAAATGTTTTAGTTGTATGCTATAAGAATTTGCACAACTTCTTGAATAAAATAATTAAGATTAAATCTATTAGCAATCAAAAAGACAAAAGAAAACAAGAGAGGGGTGCCTACGTTTAGGCTAAGCCACTTGACAAACGCTTGAATTATCAAATAACTTAGAATCTCAAATTCTCAATAGTAAGCAAACTTAGTATCTTTCAACAAAATCCCTTCGCTAATAATAAGATTAGAAGTATAGAAAGTTAACAATTCCTACGATTACTAGGCTTGGCAGAGATAGGCGAACAAGACCATGAATCAAATCAAATCCCAAAAGAGAGTTAAACCACAAAAATACAAGAGTAAATAGATTGGAAAACATTTGTCATGGTTTAGATGTAATCCTCCACTAAATAGTACCAAGTTCCTCCTCTATGGCTTTGACGAGAGTATCCAGATTACGATCCATGTATTTCTCAACAGTGTTGTCGATATTCGGATTGACGTAAAAGAAAGTGGAGTGAAGGATGTGCACGAAACTTTGCTCGTCTTAGGCGAGGCCATAGTCAAGATTGGGATCATCCATGCATCGATGTCGTTGTGTCGAAGTGTTGAAGGAGGTGTCCCTTTGTTGTCCTTGTCATTTTCCCTTTGAAAGAAAGGGATTTCTCTCAAGAATCCAAATAGGAGAAGGCAAGAGAAGGTGGCCGGCCAAGGGGGAGAGGTTTGGGGAAATTAGTTTCAGATTTTGGGAGATTAAAGTTGAGGGAAATTAATTTAAACCCTTCCTAATTATTCCCTTTTGATTGAGACTAATTAAAGGAAAGAGAAAGAGGGAAGTGGGCGGCTGGCATGAGGGAGGGAAAGGGATTAATCTGATTCCAATTGGAGAGGTTTCCCATTTGGAAAGAAATTAATTAGTGGAGCTAGGGAAAATTTGGCCAAAGGAGGTGGAGGGGAGTTTGAATTGTTTCCAAGGTGGGGAGGTGGGCTTTTAGGAAACAATTCCTAATTCCCTCCTATAGGGGCCGGCGGCATTAATGGGCTATGAGATGATTGAGGGAGAGATTTTGGGTTTCTTAATTTGGGTTTAAGAATTAGGAAAGAATTAATTAAATCCAAATCAAATTTGAAATTCAAATAAGATTTAATTTATGAACATTCCTAAAATAGATTTCTTAAATTAGAAAAGAAAATTTCAAATTCAAATTGCTTTGCAATTTGAAATTAAGTCTTCCAAAGGTAAGAATAATTATTTATGGAAAGTATTCAAGAGGTGATTTGAATTTTGGAGGGAGGATGAGGGTGATGGGGTCGGCGGCTTGGTGGGCTTGAGGGGGATTTCGGTGGGGTGATGGTGGGGGTGAGGTTTGCCGATGGTTTGGGTGGTGGGAGGGATTTAGGCAGCGGTAGTGATGGGAAGTTAAGTGGCCGGCGGAAAAGGATTTGGGGAAAACCTTGGTCAGCGGCTAGGAGATAATAGGAGGGGGATAAAGAGATAAAGAAGAGGAACCACGAACCCGACCATCTCCAAGGTTGATGGGTGATCCGATTTACCTCTCCTAGAGATTTCTCTCTCAAACACTCTGAAAATCACACAAGCAAATCAAGCAAGGAATAAAATTTTATGATTCATTCATTAACCTTAGAAGAGAAACATAAGGGCTATAAATAGTATCGTACAAAAGGACTCAAAAATAAAAAGACAACAATGACCCTAAGGCTTACATAAGACCTCCCTTAAGTAAGGGGTAAAAATGGGAAAACAAATACAACATAAATAACAATAGACAAATAACATAATAATCGACAAATACAAGAAATGACTCAAATATACATCGACTCAATCGTGGCTGTAGATCGACGTCCACGCCTCTAATATACTTTCCATGTTCTGATGTCAGCATCATTTTCCTTTTTACGTGCACGGATAAATTTCTTCCCCAGCCAGTAGCATACGGGGGTAAACTCCTATAAGTTTTGCATGCATATCCTTTTCCATTTATCAATTGTTCATTTATACATTAATTTATCATATAAGTCATTTTATTCTTTCATCATTATTTGCGTATTTTCTTATGATTGTAAGTATCATATATCTATCTCCTTTACATATACATTTATATCCTTCATTTGAATCTTTTCACATAATAATATCAAAAGATAAATAAACATCACTTTTAAAATTTAAACAAAATATTTAACAATAACATTAACATAATAGTAATCATCTGTCATTACCATAAATATTCCTTTCAAAAGAATATGAAAATACAATAATAAAATTTATACACAATTATAATTACCCACTTTGATTCTCCTCTTTCAATATTCGTCTGGTATTGAAACGCTTTTAACTGTTCACAATAACATAAAAATTTAATTAACATTAAATCCCAATTTAAATGTCTCAATAAATGTTTGATTTCTTCCACATGAAATTACCTTACAAATTTTTCCTTTCTTTCTTGGTTGAGTATTTATTGAAACAAACTCCAACAATTTGGTCTTTCCTTTTAAATTTCTAAATTCATATAAGATAAACTTTAAGAAAAAATGTGATTTAATAACAAAATTTAATAACAATCATGATAGAAAATTCACTTATAATGGAGATTTTCCCAAAATCTCAAAATCCTTCCTCTTTCACTTCCAAAATTCCTTCTCCTTATTTTCAATCTCTTCTTTTACCTTCAATTTAATGTTTCTAATAATTAGAGAAATAATTAGGAAACAATTTATAAAAAATTTGAAAAACAAATATTTTTCCTCTTTCCCTCGTCGTTACTCTCGTTCGTTGAAACTTCTTCCAAATTTATCACTCCTTTAACTATAGAAATGAAGATGAGTCGTTAATTCTTATCCCCAAACTCATTAGATTGCTAACAATGACGAATTGAATTCTGTGGAAACCTCCTATGCAAGGGTTCGGTTCCGTCAATGTACGCCCCTCTGGTACGCCCGTTCGCCCCTCTGTTTTGCGATATCACTGTTCGCGGATATGAATAGAGGGAGCCGACCGATTCAATTGAACCAGCCGAATGAATTGGTGCTTACAGACACATTAGCACGGGTTTATGTATGGGAAATTATTTGATTACATGGAGTGTAGAAAGTAATAGTCTATGATAGAGATGGTAGATTTACCTCAATGCTTTGGAGGGGCATTCAATAAGGTATGGGTACAAGGTTACACTTTACTGCACATTCCTCTAATTGAGTTTTCCTCCAACAAGCTAATCCTCTAAGAAATTATGCATGTATATGTATGGGAAAAATCATCAATCTTACAAATAAGATCTAAAAAATTATCCACCCAAGTTGTTTACCTAAGAGATGCTTTGGAGTAGTTGAACAAATCACCACCAGATCTTGGTGGCGAGCAAGAAGGATTTTAGATAAAAAATGGGTGTTATAAAAACATAAAAATAATTAAAATTGGTTTTTGATGCTTAAAAAAATAAAATAAAACCTTTTTAAAAATAAAATAAAATAAATGAACAAACAAACATATCTTTTATTTTTTAATGTCTTTTAGAACTAAAAAAGATTCCAAATAGCCCTATGGTAAATTGTTTCTTGGTGTTCAAATAGACAAAATAAGTTGGCATTCTTAAACATGTAATATAAAATAACCCTAGGAGGTAAAAGTTAAAACAGAACAAGAATGCTTTCGATGTTCCCCAATTAGTGATGTTTTAAACAATTATTAAAAAAGTAGAGATCATGATGCGCATTCAATATCACTGCAGACACTAACATGAGAATGAATAGAGTTACTATTTTTAAATGATGCAAATAATATAGAATAAAAGATAACTAACCTTCTGATTCTTTCCACAAATCATAAAGCGCAGCAAAAACGAGAGGCCTTCCATCCTTAAAATGTATATAGTATGGTTGCTTTTTGGATCCATCTTTCTTCCACTCGTAGTATCTACAAAAATTTTGTTAAAAAACTTGGATGCCAAAATTCTTTCAATTTATAAATTTTAAGAAACCATAGATTATTCATTTTTATCAATTAATCTATCAAATCATCTTGAAAAATTACAACCTTATTTGGGAGATTATTTAAATCATAATGAAACTTCCATAAAGTTTTCAAACCTTGATAAATCATGACATGAATATTATGATTTTCAAAGTGGTAATTTCACTGTTCAAAAATGATAATAACTAAGATTTTAATGTAAAAATTTTAGGAAAATTATGAGAAGATGCTAAGATGGTGTTATACTACTATAACTTATTAAGAATTTTTGAAGAACATTTAAGTTTTGTTTGGGACAATTTTCTTTCTACTTTCTACAACAACTTTTAATATGTTTGGTTAGTCAAAAGCTACTTATATAGTTCCAAAAATTTCCAATAAATTTAAGGATACTCCTTATAATAAAATACATACCCTTGAATTTTTCCTAGAATTAATTTGATTAATTGCATGGCATTAGTATTTTTTCAGTAAGAAAATTACTATTTGAAAATTTACCCGTTAGCCCCTGATGGGCCTACTGCCACAACATGCATTCCTTAGGTGTATTACACTATCTTAGACATGGCCTAACTTATTAAGAATTATTTAAGGCATTCTACTATTTTTAATCTTTGAAATACAAAATATCTCAATTATCAAATTAAGGAAAATAGCTTAAATACTCTTGATAATATTTGAGTCATTTGAGCATGGCATATTATAGCATCGTATACATTTATATGAGTCATCAAGATTGAGGATGCTATAAATGAGATTATTCAAGTTGAAATCTTGATTTTTTTATTTCAAGAAATTTGGATGTTTAATGAAAAATAATAAATAATTCTAGAGAAACATATAAAAATTTGGGATGTTTCAATTCATATGTATGATCATATGACTAACATTTCCTGAGCATAAAAAATGTGTATTACATTATTTGCATTTTTCATTAATACAAATCTTTTATAAATTACAAAAAATAGGTATCAAAACCTAATTTGAATTTGGATAAAATATATATTCAAGTTAAAATTTCATTTGATCAAATTAATATTTGCTCACAACAACAATTATATTAGAACACTGCCCATACATGTATGTATATTCTTATCTTGACCATGTGCATTATGCACTCTTCACTAGCATTAGACATGTATAGGGCCTGTTGCCATTAAACATGTACCCTAATCTCTTATTATGATTAATTTGATTTTAAACTAAAAATAATTCTAGCTTGAGATTAATTGATATAGACTAATCTCCACACATCATATTATAAAAACACTAATAACCTTAACATTATAGCTAATCAATAGGAGGCTACACCTTTTAAAATGATTCAAACAGCATTCTAGGATTTAGTCATAGCTTTTTCTAGATCTCAATGATACTAATACCACAACACATATGTTGAACCACTTCTAGAGACTATTCTGGTCCACTTTATTTACATCAATAGCATGCATTTTATAAACTTAATTGATATCCAAAATGGACTTGACTTTATGGTTATACCCTCTTAATAAGGCTTTTTTTTTTACTTAGCTCTATTAAATTGGCTGAGTTTCTTTATTATGATAACTCTCTTTTAATTGTACTGACAACTCCCCTTAGCCACACTCCACCAGCTAAGATTCTTCATAAGAATAGTCATACCACATTTTGTGAAATATATTTCTAATATTGTCATATTCATATAACTGCATTGCTTATCTTCTTAATTTTGTTCTTTTAACTGAGAAACATCTTAAATTAGTCATGCACTTTAAATAGATTCATCATTAGTGTAGTCTAGCCATTTTGATTATGCCATCTTTATATGAATATATGATTATGTCCTTCCGGTCAAATCTCTACCTTGACTAGGTCATATTCTTTTAGCCAAATATATCCCATTATACTTAGTCTTTTGACTAAAACATCCCTAAATTAGTTATGCACTTTCGCTAGAACTATCCTCAAACTTGGCCATAACATATTTGACTAAGTTAATTCAAATATAATCAGGCTCCTGATAGAGACTCTCCACCTTTCCACTACATACCTTCTATAATGGTAGTTCTTTCATGAATATATTAGTCTCTTGATGGGTTCATTTATGAAGATGCAAGGATGGCATTTTCAACGTTAACGTGGGGTATGAATATAAGAATTGGATCAATACTGGTTTTATGTTTGCTCTGTGATAATTTCTCTCTTCTTCACCCATAAGCTTTGCTCAATGTCTTTCACTCCCCCCATTTGGTTATCCGTGGCTCTATTGACCTCTTTTGGTACTCGACGGCTTGTCAACGGGGTAACATTTCATGACTATGTTATTATGCTTGATTGCTTATATAGAAAAGCTAAGCAGGAAAAATACAAAATCTTACCCTTCTACTGCCACAAGGCACCGATTTTGTGGAATGAGGCGCCTAAAAGATGCCTTTTCTTTAACAGACTCCGATCTAGCATTGAACTGCATTCATGTTTAAAAAAACATAGGTAACGATTTCCATTTCAAAAAAAAACCATGTCAAAACACTTCCAAGATTTTTATTTAAAAAACAACTTTCAGAAAAAACGCAGTTTGCATGTACTGGCATTGGCTTAAAATGATTAACAAAATGGAAGATAAACTTATTTATGCATAAAAATGAAAACACATATATAGGTAATAAGTGAAAATCCCTCAACCAAAGATTCAACTAAAAATAAATAAATCTTAAAAAACTGCTGGTGAATGGACTGAAGGCGGGAAAGAAGTTATTAACCATTCTGTAGTGGTCAGGCTTCTCTGTTTTCTTTGTGAAGCTTGGGATAAGCCCCCACTTCATACAGTGGACAGCGCCACAGAGGTCTCCAACTTGTGACCCCTCGACGTCCCTGCGCGCCGCGAACACCGGCAAGTAAGAGCCCGGAGACACGTTGTAAGAGGGATGAAAACTGCATGGAAGAAAAAGGGTGAAACCATGGCATTCGATTTCGAAGCATACTCGGATTTGAATACGGATTTGAGAGGGAGAAAGTAACGAGAAGATCATGGATTGATGGGAGTTACCGGTCCATTTCAACGGTGCGGACGGAATCGGCATCGTCGTCCTGGAGGCCGCAGGCCCTGGCCACCTGCGCCGCGTTCAGAGTGCAGCGAGCCCTTCCGCACATTATCTACGCGACTGATAGTTGAGTTCTGTGCACTCCTACCCTAAAATATGGACCAAATTGAAGTGGCGCGAAATGTTTTGATAAAATTTTATAATAAGATTTTGGGAAATTTACATACCTGCGAGTTTATACCATCCTATTTACCTATTTAACTCCAAAAATTTTAATATTACATACATACCACCCTATATTATTTTAATATCAAATATACTATTCATATTTCTTTCCTACCACTCATATATTTCATTTCTACCACTCATATTTGATATTAAAATAAACTATGGGTGATATGTATATAATATTAAAGTTTTAGATGTTAAACATGTAAATAGAATAGTATATGATGGTACTTATGTAAATCTCTCTAAGATTTTACATTCTTATACAACAAAAAATCTTATTGACATAGCCCTAGCTCTTTTGCCCCATTTTCTTTCACTCTGTCTAAATCAACGCGCTTAATTGAAATGGTTTTAGGATCAGTGCGCCCTACTTCAATAATTATTCATGTCCGCTATGTTTCATTTTAGAGAAGTTGGTTGTTTGTACAATGATAACTTAAGTTTTATTTGGAATGATTTTTTATTATTTTTAAAGTGGTTTTTTAGCATAAGAATTTCTTAAACTAAAAATTTTTATAATGAGAAATAGCTTCGTAAATAAATAAATAAATAAAGTATATCATGCTTAGTTTGGGACAATTTTATTATTTTTTAAAATAACTTTTAGTACAAATTTTTTTAAACTAAAAATTTTTGTCATAGTAAATTGCTTTAAATAGCATGAAAAAGCTACTCAAAACAAAGCCTTCCTTATTCTTTCTGAAGAAGTTATTTAGTATTAAAAATTTTTGAGCTAAATTTTTTTATATAACAAAATTATTTAAAAACAAATTGTCCCTAAACAAAATCTAATATGACTTTCTTACTACTTGTTAAAATAGCTTTCTACTAAGAAATTAAAATTTTTATATTAAAAAGCTGCTTTAAGAGGCAGTAAGAAAGCTGTCTCAAATGAAGACTTAGGCTTCGTTTGGGACGGCTTTTTTATTGCTTTCAAAAATGGAGTTTTAGTACAAAATTTTTTATTTTTATACTAAAACTCCGTTTTAGAAAGCAATAAAAAAGCCGTCCCAAACGAAGCCTTAATATGGCTCTAGAGAATGTGGCTTACCTTTAGTTGGTATTTGCATGGAAAAAGTGCTTATTACAATCATCTCCTAGTTGCAGTTAATAAGCATCATTTACAATATAGCTTCTGTATATTCTTCCTGAATGAATTTCTTCTCTGTTTTAAGTTTACTTTCAAATAAGATTATGATCTTACATGGCTTGGAGGACATTGAATTTTCTTTGGGAATGATGCCCATATTTTAAGCATATACAGTATGAATTTTTATCCATTCATATGTGGATTAAATTTTATATCATTCTTTATGTTACTAGAGCTAGTATAACCTATAAAAAATAACTAGTGAGCTTTTCCCACCTTTTATTATTAACAACATCATTTTTTAAAAAATAAGAGTAACTTTTACTCACCTCATCACCTAAAAAATAAGACTTGCTCTTACTCATGTGTGATTTTAAGTTCCTAATTTTACTAACCTTCCTAAAAAATTTTTATCACCTGAAATGACAAGCTTGAAAAATTAAAGATATAAGCCTTCTGTTTGTGAAGAAACCATGCTCTCCCTCCATCTAGAGGTAAAAAGTAATGATAGAAATCCTAAGAGAAGGAAAAGGCTTAAATCTTCTATTCCTGCATTCCCCTTTTCACATCTTATTGCTAGATAGAGTACCTGATTACAAGTGGGCTTTTACATCCTTATAGTTCAATTTTATTCTATAAATGTCTTTTGATATTTACATTCTCATTGTCTTCCCTGATGAAAAATGCTCACAACTTTCATCTCTACAAGACTTGTTGCATTTAGATTAACTCTTATGATATTTCCATTAATTCCCTCGTCAGCCTTAACCAACTTATCCATGTTGAAGTTTCCATTGAGGTAAAACCTTCTTTCTTTTTTACTATTATGTACGTTGCTAACTCCTAGCAAGACTTCACTTCATTTTAGAATGTCATATCCACTATTGTTCTGCTATGAATGGTTATTAGATCATTATGGGTCATAGATTTCAAGATGAATGGTTAGCGGGAATCCTATTCCTTTTAACAAATTTTTATACTTGGATAACATTAGCTTTAAGGTTGTACTTATTTTACCTCTCTTCTTCTAGTATTTATTATACATGGTTTAATAACAATCCCAATTCTTCCATGATAATCAAATTGAGTAGTGTTGCAATTTATTCTAGTTTGTTGCACTTTGTTTGTTTCTATCATTTTACGATGCTTCCTGTGATTATCTCTCATCATAGTTATTTAGTCATTCTTATTAGTTCTCCATCCTTATACAAGTTATTTCCCTTATGTGAGACCTAACTTTACTTACATAATTTTTTTGTGATGATGAGAGGGTTGGAAGGTGGTGATCAATTGGTGGATGTGGGGGGACTCTTCTAATAAAGTTAGAAAGAGTTGAGATTAATTTTTATAGATGAATTACTTTTGATGGCGGATGAAATTTGGAGGTAAGTTACAAGCTCTACAATCTGTCTAGAGAATATAAATTCAACTTCTACCAATTGATTCTCCTTCTAGAGATATACAAATCTAGCAAAATAAGGCTTGATTTAATGGAGATGTTATATTATTTATTTCTAGAAAGCTTGGTAAGTATTGGATAGGTTTAAGTAGTTCAAATGTGCTCTTGAAGAGATATAGGTTAGCTATGTCCAAAACATGAATTAGTTATGGTTTCCTATAGAATTGGTGGAATTCAGTAAGTTCAATTGAAAATAGTAAAAGAAAATTGTATAAGTGATTTGGAAGAGTTTAGATTTTTTCTGGATTTTTAGTTTTAGTTTTTTTATTTTATGTGACTGAAAATAATTATATGGCGGAAATCTCAAATAGAATTTAGAACTAAGACTAGTTTCTTCTCCATAAATTTGACTTGAATAACCCCAAATAAATTAGGTTTATTTAAGTATGGATGTAGACTAATGATATAGAGATTTTTGTGGAATTTTATTGAGTTTTGGTCTGTTAAGTAACAAGATGAATAATACTAGTCCAACAAAGAAAAATTTCTTTGTTGGATCTAGTAGGTAGGATTATACTTGGAATTAGAGGGAGATCATTAGATTTTGTAAATTTTTATGACGGATTAGACATACTACAACACAATAAAATAGTCTTGCAGTAAAAAGAAAATGCATAAAATTAAAACCTACTCACCAAAGTATGGAATCCAAGAAGATTTCCCAACCTCTTTGGAATGGTCGGCAACCAAGCCTTCTAGCCCTTTCAAATACACTCCAAAACATGTAATCAAAACAATAACCACTTCATTTGAGTCCAAAGGAGTTCTTGTACAACTAAATTCTAATAAGGAGACACACTTCTTCATTCAAACTTTAAACAAGAGGGAAAGGGGAAATGAAGGAGTGTCAGCCCCACTTGAAAACTACCTAAACCACCTCCATGCACACTCATGCTCTCGCATGGTTTTCATTTGTTACCTTGAGCATGACTTAAAGATAATACACTAAATGCAATAATATGAAGGTCACATAGTACTTACAACAAAAAATACTTGAAATTACATAAACGTATAAGCTTTCGATATAAATATGCTTAGGTTTTTTTTTATATATGAATTGCCCAATAAATACACAAGTGCATGTGTCGATCAAATAATAAAGTAATATGAGAGAGTGTCGATCTCATGAGGAAGCATTCTTCCAACATGCAAGTAAATTAGTATTGCCTACTACAACTACAATGCTTATCATACTCAATGAAAATCATGGTTTGGTTCTGTCAATATAGTGAATTACATAATAAATGATAAGATACCATATGATAAAGTATTATGGACTAATGAATGTGAATTACTAAAGTATTTTCTATTGAGACTCTTTTTTTGATGTGGATTAAAGCACATGCATCCCTAGATCTCTATCGAGCTTGTTGGGTTGTAAAGGGAAGTTTATGGCTTCCCTATAACGATTATATCTCTATAGAACCTAGAAAATTAAACATTTTATGTAAAGGCATGTAAACCTTCTATTTTAACATTCCTATTTGTTCCAATATTCTTTTGTCGAGATAATATATTACACTAGTATTTAACTACATGCTTGGTTATTATATGTTTTAAATTAAGTACCAAGAGATATTGGAAACATTCATTAGATATGTAAAAGCACAAGATTTTATATTAGTACTAGCATTGAGATCACAACATTAGTCCAAAATTAAGAAATTAGCCAAATTTATTATTGTTGCGTCCTAGAATATTCACGGCGGTAGAGAAATATATAGTTTAACGTATTAGCATTGTACGAAGATCCAACACACAAGCAGATAAGAGAGAGAGTGCAACATTCATAAGAGACACCAGAGTTTTTACATGAAAACCCCTGAAATGGGGGAAAAACCACAGGGCCTGGCCCAACTTGATTGAATCCACTAGTATTTGCAGTCGATTACAAATGAGGCCCTTCCTTAGGAGAAGGCCTTGGCTTGATGTCACAAATATATATCATATAGAGTGCATTACATGGTGGGAGTTACAATAATTAACATAGATGTGCTTGATTTGTTATAGTCGGCACGAGACAGGGGCCCGAAAAGACAGTAGTTAGTTAGAGAATAAGGTCAGAAAGATCGTTATCTAGTGATGGAGGTCGGAAGGAGCATAGTCGGCATAAGACAAAGGTCCAAAAGATCGTGGTAGAAGGTCACTACTCTGGGAGAATTTTGGGTGTCAAATGGTGCCCCAGAAGAAGTCTTCGCATTAGGTGGTGGCTTAGTGGAGCTTAGGGACTCAAATGGTGGTCTGGTAGAAGTTTGGATGTCAGGTGGTGGCCTGGTGGAGCACAAGGCCTCAAGTGGTAATTCGGCGGAAGTCGGGGCCTCAAGTGATGGTCCAATATAAGTGTGGGCGTTAGGTGGTGGTCCGGTGGAGCAATGACATCAAGCGG